TCATGCTGAAAAATCAGCAAGGCTTAGCAGCTACAAGCAAGAGCTGAATAATCGGATCGCTCTTCGTAAAATCTTTCCGTACATTTTTTCCAGAGTAGCCGTGGTGATGGAACGCTTGAGTCAAAAGCTATGAAATGAGTTATTAGGACGACGCAAAAGTCATAAAGCACAAATTCGAATAGATCGATATTCATTTGACCGATGCTGAACACACGTGGTTTTTCGCCACATGATTCTAAAGCATAATGCGAGTTACCATCCAAAAGGTGTGAAATGACAGCAATGTTTTCCAACAAATACGCAGCCATAATCCAAGGAACGGATCCAGGGCGGAAGTGGTGTAGTGGCAAGTGGCGCCACCACGCGAGGTCCGGGGATCAAATCCTGGGTCGTGAGTCGCCCGGGCCAACCAAGCCTTCCATCCCTCCGGGGTCGGTTAATTGGTACCAGACTTGTCTGGGAGGATAAAAACACTGACTTGTACATCGGCTGGCCCCCGCAAGTCATTGTATAGGCCACATCGCATTCAAACGCCACTACGAATGTACAAATGGAAGTAGAATGCGTGCCGCATCCCAAAAAGGGATTGATCAACGGCAAATGCTTTATCCTTATCCTTGATCCAAGGAACAAGTCCGTGCAACCAAACCCTATGTATAGCGCTGCGAATCTAACTGTCGCCCACTGGTTTCAGCAGTAGCAGCTTACGAAGGAGGCCCTTGTCATCAGTTCGTACCTCCGCCTGCCGTCGATGGGGACCGCGTCCTCAGTGATGATCAATGAATTCAGATTCTACAACCATACATGAGGCAAAGCACTTTGGCTGCGACCACAGCATCTTTCGACATCGTAATGAACGCCGCATACGAAAAATTTTCGCTTAACTTATACGACTGCGGGTGGCAGTCGACTTTCATAACACAATTACCAGTTGTCGGTACTCATTACCAGCCAGAGTTCCTAGAAAATCTGATGAAGACTGAGAGCTGAATCCGCTACAACCCAAGGATTGTCACACAGCGTCCATATTCTATCGTTTCCCTAGTAGAGAACATGAAAGTCCCTCGAATTTCTTGTCTTCCAACAATAGTTGCCTGAAGACCTGCAATATAATTAAGTCACATGTGCGTAAAACCAAACAAGTGCGGAAAGTGAAGGAACAGTTCGTTGAGAAAAATGAAATATGAAAGAATATCTTTTTCCTTCCCCCGGCCTGAGGAAGATAGGATACGGCCCCAGCTCTCCCACTGAGAATCACGTTGTACCAACCTAGATCACACTGCATCGGAAGTCGTACATAGTTTGCTGAGCTTCCAACCCAGAGAATACTGTACTACGATCCTCTCTTTCGCAAGTCAGGCAAACACTTTGTGTCCGCGTGGAAGAGTCCTAATCCACCTGTTCGATGGAGCAATTTTTAAGCACCGGCATAATGGAGGCCATCACTCGAAGGAAGAAAAGCCTATTTTGTTGAAAAAGCTTAACTACGAATCCAACAAGGATTAAAACTTGTCACTGGGCGAATACGCAGTGCCCTCCCTAATTCAAAAAGCAAATAATTTTTTTAATAAGTGATTCATAGCATGAGGTGTGACCATACACCACACATGAGCTATACAAGTCTGAAAATTACTTTCAAACGAACGAGTGCTTCGAAGACAACTCATCAAAGAAAACAAAAAATGTTATAAATTAAAAAACTGTTACCTGATGATTCTCCGATACGGCTTGTCAAATCACTTCGCACCCCAAATAAGCCCCTCCAAATCGCTCTGTGTCACCTTTGACTGGTACTTGCTTGCAATTCTCCTTATTTGAATACAATTTATGAATAATACACGAAAAAAACCAATTATTTGAACATCAGAGCAAGGATTCTTCACGCAGATTAAAAACAAAGCAAATACCTGAATATGGAGAGAATACGCGGATCGCCAACCATCTAGTGGCCAGCAGGCCCCCAGGACAAGGATTGCAATCAGCGGAAGAAGTTGTAGCAAGGGAGTGTAAGGATTCTGAACCAAATCACAGGCAATAACCAAAAAAGCAATACAATTAGAAATGTAAAAAATCGACAAGGACCAACTTCATTTTGATTGCGCGTGCTGTGACTATGAGAAGTGTGGTGGAAATGTCGTCCTCTCCTCACCGATTCCGATGGGAATCCGCCGCCAAAGAACATATTGAATATTTCCTCAGGCGAGAAATCAGCTATAAAAAATACTCATAACTTTAGCAAGAAGCTGCTGCTGGAAACTGTGAATATCCAATGAGGAGAAAGTTCCAAATCAATTTCCAAACTTGAAAAATACTGACCATCAAACCCATGAGCGTAGTCGTACTCAAAGAAGTCTCCTCTGGGTCCTCTGCTTACGTTGTTTCCGTTATCAGAGGTACCATACGTATCGTATTGTTTTCGTTTCTCTTCGTTGGACAATACCGCATATGCGTTGCCCAGTGCTAAGAAAGAGAGTTTGATTTCTCGGAATTCATTATATGAAGAGCAGCCAAAATTTCAAAACAATGCAACAGTTAGAAAATAAATGACGGATGGTATTTACGGATCCATGTAGTCTTACCTTTGAATGCCTCTGTAGAATGTGGTGCCCTACATTTATCTGGATGGAGCTGAAGTGCCATTCTTCTATATTCTTTCTTTATTTCAGCGTCAGATGCTGTTTTTGACACCTGAATTTGAAACAAAAATGAAAAGAATGGTGACAACAAATTTATTGAAGAAGATGAGCACGAACGTTCAGAATTTCGTAGTAGTCCTTACAATGTCGGATCCGTTCCACTAGGTCAGACTGCTAAAATGTAGTGACCATTTTTTACAATCGAAAGTATCTGCTAGAACTCAACCAACATGTAGAAGCTTCACGGAACTCCAAACTAACCTCTTTCGTATAATCAACACCTAATTTTGGAGTGCGTGATGACGACCGAGACTTGGCTGTCCTCGCTTTAGCAGAACCTCCGACATTTCCGTTTATTTTACTATCAGAAGCTGTAAGCAGTATGAATAGCATAATAATTGTAAGGAAAATCTGGCGGAAATTCCTGAGAATAACAAGTATGTACCTGTTCTAGGGGGAGATTGATGAGGTCGCCGGCTCCGAAGATTGGGCTCCTCGTAGTGATCATCGTGTGCGTAACTACGTTCTTCTGAATCTCGTGACGATGACTCACTGTTCGCGCCCATTGAGTCCGCCTTCTTTAAGAGAACTGAAAAAGGTAGTGAGGTAGAGCCGACACAAAAATCCACTCAATATTTTCGTGGAGTGGACCGTGTATATAATAAAGCATTTTGCTCAACGGAAAGCAGCCAGTTGTCCCGTTATTAGAACGAATGCGAGTACATCAGTGTGTTATGTGAACACAGCTCAGAAGGAAATGGACGTTGGACAGTGACTACTTTGTGATTTGGTCATATTCTGCAGTCAAGTTAAAGCATATAGAAACTGAACATGCGAGATATGCCAGAAACACGGGTATAAATAGGCCAAAATTTGCAAAGCTTCTTTTTGCTTCAAAAATTGCTTCGCTACTGATACGGGAGAGGAACGTTTACCTGGACTCACAAGAACATGAAGCCCAATTGAGGAGGAAGAGAAGAGAAAGAAGCAGAAATGGATGTATTCAAGGAGCAACAAGTGAAATTGAGCACTTTGCCTTTACTTCACTAAAGAAGG